ACGGTAATCTCACAACCAGTTGGGCTGGAATGCTTGGTTACCGACCTCTAAATATATATATATACAATTACGTTGCATAACATCTAGAGCTTTATATGGTCAATTAATGTTGCAATATAGATCGTTCTCAAGGATAAACATACAAAGTATTGAGAATAGAAATATACCTGATCATGTATGGTGTCTAGGGCTGTTAATGAACCGAGATTTTATCGAACTATTCGAGTTCGAGCTCGGTTTCGAACCTAACAAGCCGAGCTTAACGAGCTTCCGAACTCGAACCCGTGCTGAGTTTTAAGTTCGAAAAATTAATCGAGCCGAGCTCGAACGTAGTAGTATTCGGCTCGTTTCGAACTCGAGCCTATCGAACGCCCTGAAATTATAAATATAATTTATATATAATCAAAATTTAAATATAATTAGTACTCCGTATGATTTTATGAATTTAAATATGTTTATTAACGAACCAAATACTTGTCGAATCATTCGCCCACCAGCCTAACGAGTATCACCTAAAATTTTAAATTCGACCATATTTATCGAGCTTATCGAGCGCTCGGTTCGAACATCGAACGTCTATTGAGCCGAACACGAGCCTCATTTGTAAAGCTCGCCGAGCTTCAAGCTCGAACCCGAACACCATTAATTCCTTATCGAGCCGAACTCGAGCTTTAGGTGTTCGGGCTCGGCTCGGCTCATTAACAGCCCTAGTGGTGTTTGTGGTATATTAATATTCAACGAAGTTTTCTTTAAATCAATGTGAGCCATGAGGGACTTACATGTAGGGAAAATCATGCTCTCATTGTCTTAATTGGAGTTGGGAATATAAAAGTGATATTGTACTCATAAAAATTGACATGAATTTATATTGAATTCTAGTTAATGTTTGGGTGAATCCCGATGCCTTGGTAATTTAATCATATACTACGTATTCACTTAAGAAATAAATTTATGCACTTTACTTTGATTCTCTATTTTAATTCTCATAACCGAACTTTATAGAACAACGTTTCTCTGTGGATTTGGTACATGTTTTACCAGAATTTATTACGTAGTATTATATAAGCACTTGCATACTTGCAAGTTTAGCTCAATATAGAAAGTTGGTGAAGGTGTTTGGCCTGATCAGATAAGGAACGAGGGTCTGACTGAAGATATAGAGGCCGTTTGACAACACTGTTTTTCGGCTTATCAGGCTTATCACCCAACTTTTTCACCAAACACGTAACTTTTGCTTTCGCACGCTGAATTGTGTAATAAGCAGAAAAAGTAAGGTTGAAGTTACTTTTCTGGCTGTATTGGCTGAAGTTACTGAAGATGATCATTTTAGCTATTTTTACATATATTTTTTTCTTTATTTTATTAATAAAATATATTCTAAAAATATTTTTTTCTTAAATCAGCCGAATCAGCAATTGCAGACACTTCAGCCAGAACTTCATAAATTTCAGCAGAATCAGCCAAATCAACCGATTTTCATGCTGCCAAACGGCCTCATAGGCGGCGTAGGAAATTGCTGCTACAGTATAAGAATAAAAAAAAGGAAAACGAATTAAAGAAAAATAAAATTTACATATTCAGAAACTACATTAAAAATTCTATAATACTTGATCAAAAAAATTAAATTTGAAACTACATTTTCATTATTCTAGTCACTGTGTCTATTATATTTCTTGATTTCCTTGAACTATTTATAGGGCGACACATGTTGAAGAAATGAGAGGAAATATATTTAGATGGTATTAGATGTGATATTAGTTACTTGTCAATGTGATATTAGATGGTTCTTTCATACACGTAGCAGAGTTGTAGGTCGCCTAACCTCTCTCGGCGATCTATTAGGCCTAAACACGCGGCGAATGCCGCCATGTATATACCGTACTATAATCACGTTTTATTTACAGTCTTCAAATCAAACCAAAAGGCTGTCTTTTTTTAATCATTTGCTTAGGTACATCCCAAACCCGGATAAAATCATACTAATAATAATAGGAATATTTTTTCTTTGAACGTATATTAGTAGTAGTAATAGTGATGATTTTTTTTTTGGATGAAGTAATAGTGATGATTATAATAATAATAATAATAATAATAATAATAATAATAATAATAATAATAATAATAATAATAATAATAATAATAATAATATAATGATAATAATAATATCTCCGGGTATAATTTTTTTTTAAAATACTCCGTAATAATTACAATATTTTTTGGAGACATGGTGTTTATTCGATATTTAATGCTCATTATTTGTCTTGTATATATAAGAGGAAAAAAGATGTAAAATTCTAAAATATGAGTGTTAATTACGTTTCCCCCCTCTAAATAAAAATAAATTATTTATATTTTAAATGAATGGATTGTAATTGCAATAAAACTCACATGGGTACCATCTATACTACCATACATTAATTTGCCATCATCACTTACACAGCTCACAATACTTTTAACAAGGTATTTTTCTTGATGATATTTTAAGATTGGTATTAGTTACTCATATTTAAAAGAAGTTTTTCCTAAATTATTACTGATAAAAAATCAATCACAAAAATGTGATAAAATGACTTTTAGTGACTATTAATATGTTCAAAATTTATATCATTGTGACTACTCTGTATATCATAGTAATTTTAAACATAATTATAGTCACTACTGCTACCAAGTCACATTTTTATTCATATTTATTTTATTTATTGTACGTTCACTATTTTCCCTATCATATGTTTGTTTATCATTATTTTAGTGTGCATCTTTGTGAGCACATAAACACCGTGTAAAATACATCTTGATCATAAGGGCTTAGAATGTTTTCTTTTGGATTGAAATTTGCAGGTCTAGTCTGGGACTGAAAACAGTCCAAAAGAAAACATCCCGATTCATGGCGAATCAAGTCAATCATTGATAATTTATCTTTAGTTTGAAAATTTTATTCTTAGAATCGTTAAAAAATATAGTCAAGCGCACAAAGGCATTTCGCAAGACAGGAATTGAGAAAATGGTTATTTTTTGACAAAAAACTCTCTTGAACATGTGATCTTTCAATCACAAAATAACACTTTAATCAGTGCAATCAAGGCTTCCATTCTATGTTTATAATCATGCCAAACAAAAATTCAACTTAAAGCAATCAAGGCTAAACAGAATTATGAATATATAGGAGGAGCTCATTAAACATCCAACAGAAAATAAGCTATTTTATCGCTTAAATTTGGGGTTTCGAAGTGTTACTCCAAACCAGTTATAAGCTGGTATGCATATTAATTAGCTTCTCCGTTCATCCGGTATACATTTTGATATCACGTGTCGAATTGTTTAATAATCAAAATAAAAAAGTTTAGAATTGCTTTTGTGGTTGCATTGATTGAGTATATTGTAGATGACCATTTTAACTATTTTATCATATAAAATTTTCTTTATTTTAAATATAAAATATATTTTTATATAATTTTTCATAATTCAGCATAATCGGTCAATCCAATCATTTTAACCAAAACTTTGTAAATTTTACTAAAATTAGTCAATTCAACCAATATTTGGCCTAAAGTGTGTACCCAAGTCCTGTACCCAACTCTTGTGGCTGGACTCCGTACACTGCTTAATGCCAACAGACAGTTTATTTCTCTTAATACTCCCTCCGTAACTTAAAAATTTTCCCACTTTCCTTTTTCGTCCGTAACAAAAAAAAATCTCATTTCTAAATCTTCCTATCATACCCTCAATAATTCTTAAAATAATAAACTATTACAACTACTTTTTTTGGATCTATCCTACATTCCACCATATCATTCCATTATTTTCCCATCATACCCTCAATAATTCATATCATCTTTCAATATTCTTAATCCACTTACTTTTGAAATGAGAACATTGTAAAGTTAAGAAAGTATTTCCTCTCCGTCAGGCTTCCTAAGACCATTTGTAGTGGTCAAGAGTCCAAATTGTTAAATTTGGACTCCGTTCATTTGAAAACTGTGTTTAGACTCCGTCAATAATGTTTTCCCTGCATCCGTACACCGTCGATAAAATACATTCTGCATATTTTTTACATATCAATTTAGTAAAACATTAATTAAATTATTATAAACAATATTTTTCTTTGTTTTTATTTGTGAAGAGTAATAAAATTAAAAAATACACATTTTGATGTTAAAAATTAAAAAAAAAAATCATTAATTTTTTTTATTACTACTTTCACTTTTATAAAATAGTAAAATGAGTTTATGTAATATTCAATTATTTGTGGAGACACTGTGAATTAAAAATTTGTGTTTCGTTTTTTTAAGCCTACTCAACTCTTTGGCTATTGAAACTTCATTTTTAAAAATAAATTATATATGTATAATATTGATGTCATATGAAAGATCGTAAGAAATTGTGAATTTTGATATATTTTTCAAAAAAAATAGACAACAAATAAAAAAGTTATAGTCTTTTTTATAAAAGAGTGATTTTATTATGCAGGGATGACGTCAGCATGACGTCACCCGCTTAACAACAGTCACAGGCCGACGCTTTCTTCTCTTTTTTCTTTTGCTTTTGGAGAGTCTAAAACTCCTCTATATTTGAACTCTTCCACTCCCCTTTCCATTTTTAAACCTCATTTTACTACTCCAATGTAAGCAAATAGGAGTCTAAAAGCTCCACATTTAATTTTTTGGACTCCTAAAACCTTCCACTACAAATGGTCTAACAGCACAGAGGAAGCCAACCCCGTACATCTGTCAGAAGAAAATTTACAAAAATGCAGAATTATTGAGTTTTCGAGCAAAATTACAAAAAGGTTTCGTTTTCAAAAGTGGAGATTATCAAATTCTCCCACCCCAGCCCATGTCACCCCGCTCCACATCAATCCTTACAACCTTTTTACCTCAACATTTAACGATCTTTTACATTTTCTAAATAAATAATGTATGGTATTTATTAATGTGTATATTATATTTTTACCATAAAAAAAAATCTTGGGGAATAAGAAATTCTAGAGACCATTTGCGCGTGTTGAAAGCAAAACTCTCGGGAGTGAGTCAATAACGGGGTAAAGAGAGAGAAAGTCAATATTCAAAGCTTTTGTGCGAAAAGAAAATTCTTCCATCAATTATGACACAAAAACCTTATTAAAACTACTTATAAGGACAAGCTCCATGATTTGCTTCCTCTTAATTTCACTTCAATTATTTCTTTCTTCATCCAATAATCGAAAGTATCCGTATTTCTGCTGTAAAGGTCGGATCTTTTTGTGTGATTCAGTTTGTATAGCCCATCTATTCTTTTGGGTACCAGGTGCTCGTTTGGGATTGGTTGTTTTCCACGAATCATTACCCAACCCACATCTCTCATTTAGTTTTTCATCTCTGTCTGTGTGTCCTCAAGCTATAGTCAGTGAAGTGGCGGAGTTTTCTACCTGGGATTGTGTTATTATGGGAGCATTTAATGAGCATTGAGCTTCTAGTAATCGTAAAAAAGGTGAAAAAACCAAATCTTTAGGGGGGTTAAAGTGGATATTTAGGGGGGAATGAGGACAGGGATAAGGAGAAAGCTGCATTTGAGCAAGATCTATTCATTCAGATGTGGGAGGGCATCATTCAACAGAGAAGACCATTCGCAGTTAGGTGGGCCAGGGTTTTCAAGAGTGGTGTTCTGCAATGAACCAGATGCTTTAGAGGCTGGTTTCAGGAATTATTCTGGGAACTATGTTAGTACCACAAAGTATACAGCTGCTACTTTCTTGCCTAAGTCTTTGTTTGAGCAGTTCAGGAGAGTGGCAAACTTCTACTTCCTGGTTGTGGGGATCTTGTCCTTTACTGCTCTAGCTCCTTACTCTGCTGTCAGTTCTGTTATTCCTCTTGTCATTGTGATTGGGGCAACAATGGTGAAAGAGGGCATTGAAGACTGGCATAGGAAGCGGCAGGTATTTATTTGTTTGTTTGTTTTACTCGCAAGGTCATTTTTTAGTTTTTTACCTATTTGTTTTGGATATTGAATTGCGTTGAAGTTTCTCAAGTAACCTGCCATTACTTGGTTATTTTGGGAGACATGATCTTTTAGTTTAAAAATTCGTACTTAATCTGGTCTTTCAAAGGTTGAGTTGTCGTGTGTATTTAATAATTCCAATTCATATTTCTCTAAGACAACTTAAATGCATACCCTATGGAATATACGGTTATTTCTTTTGAGAGACTTCATTAATCACAGGATTTTCTGGGTTTTCCATTTCATTTATTTGTAATTTGGAATTACTTGGAAAAGATTCTGCATTCAAAAAGTGATTTTCCACAAAATGCTTGAAGTAATTCTTGGTAGTAACTCCGGGGAGAATTAGTATATCTTATAGATGATCACCTCTGAAAACGCATTTCAGGATATGGAAGTGAATGGCAGAACAGTAAAATTGCATCAAGGAAATGGAACCTTTGAGGATACTCAGTGGATAAACTTGAAAGTGGGAGATGTTATTAAGGTGCAAAAGGATGAATTTTTCCCAGCTGACCTTCTTTTACTGTCATCAAGTTATGAAGATGCAGTCTGTTATGTTGAGACTATGAATCTTGACGGGGAGACTAATCTGAAGCTTAAACAGGCATTAGAGCTAACTTCATTCTTACAAGAGGACTCAAAATTTGCCGATTTCAAAGCTTTGGTTAAATGTGAAGATCCAAATGCGAGTTTATACACTTTTGTTGGAAGCATGGATTTTGATGGACAACAGTACCCTCTTTCCCCTCAACAACTCCTTTTGAGGGACTCTAAGTTGAGGAACACGGAATACATATACGGGGTAGTTGTCTTTGCGGGCCATGACACGAAGGTTATGCAAAACTCCACGGGCCCACCTTCAAAGAGAAGCAAAATAGAGAGGAAAATGGATAAGATCATATACTTCTTGTTTGGGGTGCTGTTCACTATGGCGTTAATCGGATCAATATACTTCGGTATTGTCACTAAGGAGGACTCTGACGACGGGCACAAGCGGTGGTATTTAAGACCGGACCAGTCAACGATCTTCTTCGACCCAGACCGTGCGCCAGCTGCTGCAATTTACCACTTTTTAACAGCTCTGATGCTCTACAGCTACTTGATCCCAATCTCATTGTATGTTTCCATAGAGGTTGTTAAAGTTCTTCAAAGCATGTTCATTAATAGGGACATAAATATGTATCATGAAGAGACCGACAAACCGGCCAACGCCCGGACATCCAATTTGAATGAGGAACTCGGTCAAGTCGACACGATTCTTTCGGACAAGACAGGGACACTTACGTGTAATTTGATGGAGTTTGTTAAGTGTTCTGTGGCGGGGACCGCTTACGGGCGGGGCATTACGGAGGTTGAAAGGGCAATGGCTAAGAGGAACGGATCTCCATTGATCATTAACGGTAGGGAGGTTGATGACTATTCTCGTGACATGGTGAACAAATCATCTGTGAAAGGCTTTAACTTTGTCGATGAACGGATCATGGGTGAGGAGTGGATTCATGAGCCCCGTTCTGATGTGATACAAAGATTTTTGCGTTTGTTGGCAGTGTGTCACACTGTCATACCTGAAGTGGATGAGTCTTCGGGTAAGGTGTCATATGAGGCCGAGTCTCCGGATGAAGCTGCTTTTGTGATTGCTGCGAGGGAGATAGGGTTTGAGTTCAATAAAAGGACTCAAACTAGTGTCTCAGTGACTGAATTGGATCCCACTTCAGGCAAACAAGTCGAGAGGTTAGTCTATGTAAAATTATATTCCTGCAATTCTAAATGTTAGTGTCCCTGCAGTAAGAATTATGTGGGCGAATGGGGCTGAATCTGCCCAATTTTTGAAGGGAAAGACGTGTTGTAATGTCCATTTTAGCCAAATAAGTAAGCAAAAACAAAAACCATTGACTAAAATAAAAGTATACGACAAAAATATCTTTTAATATACAGTGATCATAGTGGTACATCCGCTGTGACTCTAGTGAACATAGTAATATTCAATTTTGTCCCCTTTCATGTTATTTTCATCCAATTGAAGCTCATGCAGAAAAAAAGTTTTAATAATGTGATGATATTATTCCCTTTCACAATTTCACACCATGTTGATGTGTAAAGTAATATAATTGAATTTTGCATGTGGAATATTGCTCATAACAAGTAAACTAATGCAGATTTACATCTAAATATTCATGCAAGCAGGTCATATAAACTTTTGAACGTATTGGAGTTCAACAGCACAAGAAAAAGGATGTCTGTGATTGTTAGAGATGAGGAGGGAAAGATATTGCTACTCTGTAAAGGCGCTGATAAGTTAGTAGTACAAACAAATATTGCCCCCATTTAGTTTTTTGTTTTTTCGCTACCCTATATGATCTGTTTCTTCAACTTCTTTCTTGGAACAGTGTCATGTTTGAAAGGCTCGCCATAAACGGAAGGGAGTTTGAAGAAGCAACAAAACAGCATGTAAATGAGTATGCTGATGCAGGCCTGAGGACTTTGATACTTGCTTATCGTGAACTAACTGAGGAAGAATATAAAGCATTTAATGAACAATTTTCTGAGGCCAAGAACTCAATTAGTGCAGACCGCGATGCAATGATTGATGAAGTGACCGAAAGGGTTGAAAAAGACTTGATACTTCTTGGTGCCACAGCTGTTGAAGACAAACTCCAACAAGGGGTGAGTTTTAAGACATCACATTGTTGTTTGTATAGAATTCATTTTTAGGTTGGGATTACTCACGTGAGTCATAATGCACACTGGTCAAACAATACTAAATGATTGAATACAATTGATCAAGTAGACCTTATACTTCGGAAGGAGACATAAAATATCAACATTTGAGGAGGCATTCCTGTGTAGGTTACGCTTATTGGGTGATGATTTCATGTTCGACTTTTTAACACCCAATGAATGTGTGTCACATAGCAATGCCTCCCTAAAATATCCATATATTATTGCTCTATAAATTCATCTATCTCTAAAGGTAGTATTTTGATAAGTGACTTATTTTAGAGATTATAGATAAAATGCTTAATTGTAAAATTTTGTAGTTTTTGGAAATACAAGTGCTTTAAAAAAATAATTAGTGTTTTGTAAAATACTAATTATTTGTGCAATATTTACGCCAAAGATTCATTATTTTTTGGCTTGAGAATATGATGGAATAAAGCAAAATGGCTCACTAAACTGTTTGCGCTTCTTTGTTATGAAGCAGGAGTCAGTCCGTGCAAATTTGGACGCGATTTTCACTATGGGTCATCCGGAAACAGTCTCTCTGTGCTTTAGTACAGGGGTAAGACTGCGTACATCCGACCCCCCCTTACCCCACCGTAGGTGGGAGCCTTTGCGGCACTGGGGTAAATGAAAATGATGAAATGATTTACGCCAAATATTATAGAAAAGCGAAAAGCTGTTTAAAACATCATCCCCACCTGCTTTAAACAGTATTTCCTAAGCAGCTTTAAAGTGCTTGAAGTTCAACAAAAACACCTACTACCTCCATCCCACTAAGATTGGGACAAGAGAAGGTGACACGATTATTAAGAAAAGTAGGTTTGTGTGGTTGATATTAAATTGATAAAGTAAAAAAAAAGTAAGTATGTTTTAGAGCCACACAAACTTTACCAAATTTGGTATGGGACAATCTTAGTGAGATTTCCTGAAAAGGTAAAATGAGACAATCTTAGCGGGACGGAGGGAGTATTTCACAACACTACAAGTTTTTCTAAGCGGAAAGAACAAAGGTGCTTTTTGTAAGCAATCACAAACACTCCTTACATTTTTAATGAACTATTCTTAACAGTATTAATTGTGTTATGCTACTTTTGGTAGGTTCCTGAATGCATCGACAAGCTTGCCCAAGCAGGGATAAAGATATGGGTTCTGACAGGAGACAAGATGGAAACTGCCATTAATATTGGGTATAATAATGATTTCTAGAAGTTCTTATGATTTACTTATTTTAGGTTATTAGTTACAGAATGTAATTGAGTCAAAATTGTGTTTGCAGTTATGCTTGTAGTTTGCTTAGACAAGGAATGAAACAGATAGTTATAAGCTTGGATACGCCTGAAATTCTGGCACTAGAGAGAGCTGGAGACAAAAAAGGAGCAGCCACGGTAAGTAAATGCCTATCCAAACAAGTCCTTTACGTTTTGAGAGAATTCTATGCTTTTGTATGAATGTTAGAATCCATAGGAGGTTAGGATCAGGGTCACTCAACTGTATAACACACCAACAGATTAGATTCAATCATTAGCTAATCTGAGACAAAGTTTAATAAACATATCTCTTTAGTATTTTATGTGGGACCTCTTAACAATGTTGTTTTCTGAACATATAATTTTATAGGCCTCAAAGAAAAGTGTTTCCAAGCAAATTACCAATGGGAAAGAATTGGTCACCTCATCAAACAAGGAAGCATTTGCTCTAATTGTTGATGGGAAATCCCTTACATATGCATTGAAAGATGACATAAAAAACTCCTTTTTAGAGCTTGCAGTTGGGTGTGCTTCTGTTATCTGTTGCCGTTCATCACCAAAGCAGAAGGCATTGGTAATCCGCGATGCACACCATATTCCTGCTTTTTATAATCTTCATTTTTCTTATCTTGAAATGTAATGTTCCGGAACCTTCAGGTCACAAGGCTTGTAAAAGAGGGAACTGGGAAAACAACTTTGGCAGTCGGGGATGGAGCAAATGATGTAGGAATGCTCCAAGAAGCAGATATCGGAATTGGAATAAGCGGTGTTGAAGGAATGCAGGTACTAATATATGATCTTTCGGATCGATAGTGCCTTAGGCCCCATTTGGTAGCCAGTACTGCTCGTCATCTACTTATCAGCAGATTAAGTAGTTTTTTACTTATTTGTTGGTTTTTGGTATGGTCGGTGTGGTTTTCCGAAATGCAAAACTGATAACCGAATGGAGTAACTAAATCAATTTCAGACTGTTTTGATTAGGTTATTTTTTGTCAGTTCGTGTCTGGTTTGGTTGGTTATGCGATGTTTCGGTCGGTTTTAGTAAGTCTTGGGTTGGTTTGGTCGATTTTAAAAGCATTTATCTTAAACCGTTGACTGGACCAGCTATGGTTTTGGTTCATCCAGTTTCTGTCATTTTTAATATGTTGGTTTTTTGGGTTCAGCTCTATCTGAAATGCATATCATGCAAGCCTTTCCTTCTAGAAATATCAGGAGATTCAGTGATTTCCTACCCTTCTAATTCCTTTTTCCTTTTCTATGGCGGTGCAATGACAGGCTGTCATGTCTAGTGATGTGGCCATCGCGCAGTTCCGTTTCTTGGAGCGCTTGCTTTTAGTGCATGGACATTGGTGTTACAGAAGGATCTCTTCAATGGTAATTCATTTTATTATTAATTTCTTCCATAGTTATAATAAAAAGTATTACATTGTTCATTAGATATATGATACGGAGTATTTCTTATTCCCTCTTGCAGATATGCTATTTCTTCTACAAAAATATAACCTTTGGCGTGACTGTGTTCCTCTACGAAGCGTATGCATCATTTTCTGCACAACCCGCATACAATGATTGGTTCCTTTCGCTTTACAATGTCTTCTTCACATCACTCCCTGTGATTGCCTTGGGGGTTTTTGATCAAGATGTGTCCTCCCGGTATTGTACAAAGGTATCCATTGCAACCAACACTCTATTGGGTGTATGTTTCATGAGTCTCTGTTTTCAACCCCGGTACAACTCAAGTGGTCCTAGTGATCCAAGTTAAGGGCCCGTTTGCTAAGGGTTATTTTGTTGAAAGAAGTCTGTGGTTAGATCAAGGTTTAGACATTCTTGATCATTCGTAGTGTCATTCTAGTCAATACCTTATTCTAGAGATTTTCATTTTGGCAATGCGTACTAAAAAAAGCTAGGACGTCTCATGTGAATGTACCCCTAAACACGTCTAAAGTTTATTTTCAAAAATATAACCTTTGTAGTGAATTTAAAAGCAGTGAGTTGTGTAACATCTGTTTCAACCAAATACGTCAAGTTACTTGTTGTGCCGAGATGCTGACAATCACAATAAGCAGAATAAGCTAGATAAGGCTACCCTTTTGGCTATGCCTAATATCATTGAATGGGCTAAATCTGCTTAATTTTCCAAATGATTTTTTAAATGCATTTTAAATAAGCTGAAGAAAATAACAGAAAGAATGAAGGCTACAACTTCATTTTCATTAAGCCAAAAAGCGATCTTTTCAATATCAACTAGTACAATGAAATAAGTGTTTAGTGGAAATATGTGAAAGGGGTTGTGGGGCCCTCTGGGTAGTGTTTCAACTCCGTTTTCCCTCCATTTTGATCACCCTCTTATATCTCTTTTCTCATGCAGTTTCCTTTACTTTATCAAGAAGGGGTTCAAAACGTCCTCTTCAGCTGGAAGCGTATAATTGGATGGATGGTCAATGGTCTCTGCTCAGCTATCATAATATTCTTCCTCTGCATAAACACACTTGACCCTCAAGCCTACGAAAAGGACGGGAAAACAGCGGGGTTTGCGGAGGTGGGAACCGCAATGTACACCTGCGTCGTTTGGGTAGTGAACTGCCAGATGGCGCTCGCAGTCAGCTACTTCACCTTAATCCAACACATCTTCATCTGGGGCGGCATAGCTCTGTGGTACATTTTCCTCATCGTATATGGAGAGCTTCCCGTGACGATTTCCACCACGGCGTACAAAATCTTCCTAGAAGCCCTTGCACCGGCCCCTATTTACTGGGTGGTCACTCCGTTTGTGGTTATTGCGGCTTTGGTCCCTTACTTTTCATATAATGCCATACAGATGCGATTTTTCCCGATGTATCATGGGATGATACAGTGGTTGAGGTATGAGGGAAGGGTGGAGGACCCCGAATACTGTAATATGGTCCGGCAGAGGTCAATCAGGCCCATCACTGTGGGCTTCACAGCCCGTTCTCTGGCGAGAACGAATCCATTGGAAGATGGGAATTACGAGACCAGATGACAAACGGCGTAAAAATATAGAACTGCTCGGGGGCACGTTGTACATATGTAATTGTTTGGGTACAGATTGCTTAATGTGTTTCAATTGATGTTGGAGATTGACCCCCCCCCCCAACCTCTGTAAATTTTGCAATTAATAGGTTTATCTATTCTTTCATTGTACACTGACATTGTTGACAGGAAGACATTATAGGTTTAGTGATAGAGGGTTCATTTTTGTTTGAAGCTATTCTCTCTTCTGGTGTAAACATTTTGTAACAAAGTTGAGTAATTCTGCACTTCTCTTCATAAGTAATGTGATATTTTTGTTGATATTTTTGTACGGGGTTGCTTTGCGCACCCCCAAATTACTTAATCTAACCTATGTTGACAATATTAACCTTATTAATTTGTCACCACTGAGTTCATGCTTGCAAGTCAAAAAATAACTTTTTGTTTCACTTGCATAGTTGCATCTATTTACATCATTGAAGATTTTATTGATCGAGATAAAATTATTTAAAATTATTAATATGTTTTGAAAATGAAAATTCATTTTCAAAATTAATGATCACATTTAAATTCATAAAATCATACTACATACTAATTACATTTAGATTTTGATGTGTGTGTATGTGTGTATAAACTGAATCGATAATTTTATAGTGTTCCATATGCTTGAGCTCAAATTGAGCTGAAAAATACTATGTTTTGAACTTGGCTAGATTAATTGAACAAATTTAGAACTCAGTTGTTGTACCGCCCTAGTCTGGCCCAGTGCTCTGGCTCCACTCCTGCCCATGAATAAGAGAAAATAGTCCAAGTTTCCAACTATCAACAAAAGATAGTTATATTTATTATGCTGAGCGGAGAACAATTGAATGATAGCTTTATTTATGTGCTTATAAGTTGTAAGTATATACCAACCTTAATTTTTTTTACTTACAACAATTGAATTTTAAAGATTTCTTGTATGGAGTACAAAATTTTGGCAATTGATTTATTTAATTGTATATGAATATAGATTTCATTAAAGTTGATATTTTAAAATTCTACCTTCCAACAAATTTATTACGTAGTACGGAGTAATATTTTATAGAATGTGACATTTTTATAGTAAATTGTGGAAGTATAAGACATGTTTGGTGAAATGGATGTTATCAAACCATCTTCATCAAACTCAACCGTATCAACCAAATAGTCTTGACCAAACTGGTCCTTGCGCAATTATTGCACATCCATGGAAACACAATTCAATGGGACCAAGGCCCCACCTAATTTAAGCGCCACGTCATCTTTGAATTCTAAATTTTTATTATCTGAATCTGGACTAGAAGAATTATTCCACCAGCTTGATGTTTTTCAGAACTGTGATTGGGAGTGGAAAAATTCAAATGTGTCTAGATGGCCAGCCATGACAATATCAGTAAACTTCTTGTTTGGTATGGCAAGTAAATATGACTGACTGGCATTGCAGCATCAGTGCATCACCACCCCAAAAGCTTCCAAAAGCAAATTCCCCTTTCAATGAAAATTCCTCCAATACCCTCTCAACTTCATCCATGCAACACCCACTAAACGGGAACAATCCGTCAACCTGATGAACCCTATGCGAGCCTCCTCCCTCGTCTCGCCACCTTCCGGAGCTGTAATGCCTGATGTTGAGTTCACCACGATGCGTTTTTACCTGCAAACGCTTCGTCCCCTTGCTCATTCGGGATCTCAGATTTTTCACATACCGTTTTGTCCTCCTAATCATCCTATAGGGGAGCTTGAGCAAGATGAAGATGATGACCTGGAGAATCAAACACTGGCAGCAGCATGATATGACAATGCAATCTGCTACAAGGGCGTTCCGGTCGTGCATTCTTCCAAGAGAGACAGGGAGAAAAAGAGGGAAATAAGAGGAGAGAAGTGTTTAATAGGGAAGACATGTTTCTTCTCCCCAAGAATATGTTCCTTCTACTCCTTTTGATGCTTTATGAAGTGTGAAGCAATAAGCCAAATAGGATACAGACACAGAGGGCCTTTTGAGATCCCAGAGAAGTTGATTTCTAAGGAAACGTGTGATGTCCTATGGAATAACTTGTCTTCCAAGCAAGGATACCTCTTGTACATTTTTCGTTCTTAATTTGCATATATGAGTGCACGCAAACAGAGCAGGATACAAGTCCCCAAAACAAGGCAGACACTCTAAATCTCTTATCACATGTAATATTGTATACAAATAAATATATACGAGTATAATTTTGTAAAATCAACAATTTCATATCTAATCTCACCAAAGTTGTCCTTATTTATAACAAATTTTTTAAGAGATACACAGCAAAATTACCCTAGTCCCACAAATATATCATCATCAACATCATCACCTCTCTAGTACCGCTGGCGCACAAATATATCATCATCATCACTTCTCCAGTGCCGCAAAGGCTCCCGCCAATGGTAGGGTAAAGGAGATCAAATGTACGTAGCCTTACCCATGTACTAAAGGATAAAGCCTTGTTTTTTTACTCCAGGGGGCGTCTGGGGGAGCCTAGAGTAATCAGGGCTGAAACTCACTCCATTGAATTTCACACTCTTGTGTTCTTAGGGAGTTTCGAACTCGAGACCTCTCACTCGGCACGGTAACCTCACAACCAGCTAGGCTGGAATGCTTTGTTAGGATAAAGCCTTGTACTAAAACACAGAAGGACTGTTTCCGGATGGCCCATGGTGAAAATCGCGTCAAAAATTGCATGAACTGACTACTGCTTCATAACAAACAAAGAAGCGCAAACAATTTAATGAGTCATTTTGTTTTATTCCATCATATTTCCAAGCCAAAAAAATAGTCAATGTTTGCCACAAGGCCCACAAAGATATAGCTATAAGAATTTATTTATGCACATCTAAATATTTAATACAATTTCTCAATTCTCTTTTACTATTTTTCCATTTATCTTATTTAACTTTCAGAAGGGTAAAACTGAAACAAATCATGGAGCAAAGTTTAGCAAGTAGACTGATACATAGGAGCTTAAAATAAAATCCGAAAACTAAACAGATAATAAGACAGGACGGAGGGAGCATCTTTTAAAACTAAAACAATTTGTGTATGGATAACAGTGCCTTGACCTAGTTACATGTAAAGTCTCTGAAAAGAATAATAACCTGAATACATCAAAAGATGTCAAAAAACAAAACTACTTACAAAAATAAGATCCTACTTTCAAGATCTATTCATCATGGATCTAAGCGCAAGAGCCTTTCTGCTTCAGCCACGGAGGAGATCTCAGACAAAAATATGTACCTTTTAGCCGAGTTTCATTCTACTGTCATGACAGATTAAACTGTAATTATTTACCCCATGATGAATCAGCTACTGTGACTGAAAAAAATCTATACTAAAGTTCCCACTCCCAAACGCCATTCTGCGAAACAGCCTTATCTCTGCTGATTGTTCTGCAGAGTTGAATATTTCACTTTCACCAACTCTCATCCCATTTGTGAGGTCAGACATGGCCATATTTTCAAAAGCTCTCACAACCTGTAAAAAAATGCAACCACTCTTGAATACTCCGTATAGAACTTCTAACATGAACAGTAAAAAGGGACCGCAAAGAAGAAGATAGTTAAAAAAAGCAAAATAGCTTTCCTGCCCATGTGGGGCTTTCTTATTCTCTTGACAAACACATGGAGCCACCGCCCCAAACTCTCAAAAACACCTACCACACACAAACCACTATCTATGAACCGTAAAAACACATGTGTAGCAAATAGTGGAATGTGTTAGCTATTCTAATGGGTAGTGGTGTTTCATGAAAATTTGTGGTTAGAAAAGAACAGATTCTGTTAGTTCACCTGACCTGTAAGAGCTATTTGGTATCATTGATAGTTTTAAGAGAATATATAAAATGGATTTTGCATATCAAATATCATTGCATATCAAATATCAAATGTCAAGACGTGGGTGAGTAGGATGTCGCCCAAAAGTGAAAAAAAAAACAGCCTCCCCATGATGGAGACCAGAGACATCTCACATCTCGCAAGGCAATATGGATAATAGTTACCTGTCCCATGCGTGGTCTTTTCGCAGAAGAATGGCGAATACATGCTGCTGCTGCCTCAACCATTCTGAACATTTCACTATCTACATAATTTTTCTCTAGCCCAGGATCTGTTAGCTGCTGAAACTCCTTATTTTCAAGAGCATGACTCAACAAAGGACGAGCCTGGAAAGTTAAGAGATCACTTAGAGGGTGTTGACATCTCAGGGTAGTAAAAAGTAATTCAACTTTGGACATTTTAAGGTAGTAAAAAGTAGCCTTTCAAAAGGTTTTTATAACCTTAATCAAACAATGCAGAAATGCACTCACTGAATTCTTGACTGGGGTAAAGCTTTAGTGGGAAAGAAAATTGTAGTAGTTACTTGAAAGAGTGATCATCTTTCCTCGGAGAAAAAACCTAAATTTCAGTTAACTAAATCTTTTTCCTTCACCATCCACTAACCAAACAATACTCTTGGCCTCTATTAATGAGAATACTACCTCCGTCTCAATAAAATAATCGTGTTTAAGCAAGGTACAACTGTACAAGCATACAACATTACAACCTTTTGATTTTGGTATCATATACTCTAAGTCACCAACGCTTTTTTCAGGACTCCTTTTTGAGAAGTTTCATGAAAACCAGCTTTGTACGTTGAAATGGAATTCCTTTTTCTGGAAGATTATTTTTAAATCATCACTTTCTCGGATGGACGAAGGGGAACCTTAGTGCACCGGTAAAGGTGTTGCTGTGTGACCGAGAGGTCACGGGTCCAAGTCTCGGAAGCAGCCTCCTGTCAAATTTTGATAGGGGAAGGCTTGCCCCGTATATACCTTTGTGGTGGGACCCTTCCCCGGACCCTCACGTTGCGGGGATTCCTTCGTGCACCGGGCTTCCCTTTTTTTTTTTACTTTCTCGGATGGACAGTATATAATGCAAAGTAATATGGCATAAGTATAATTGAATAGAAGATGTGTTAAACTGATAACCTAACAAATGTAGGGACTAGAGAGTAAGCTAACGAGCATACCCATTCAACCAGGCTCTCCTCCCCTAAAGGCTGAGATGCATCAACAGGCTTGCGTCCAGTTATTAGCTCCAAGAGCACAACTCCAAATGAAAAAACATCAGATTTTTCTGTCAACTTTCCGCTTGATGCATATTCAGGAGCCATGTATCTGAACCAAAACAATCACAGAAATTAGTGGTGAATTTAGGTGTCACTTTACCATCAATTGATGCTGAAGGTGTGAAAGAGAGGCGGCAGAATTTATTAGGAATTATTAGTTACATTTTTATATTAGTATGGATAACTCACTCCATCCTCAAAAAAAAACTTTTTGTATCCCCAAAAAAAGTTGTTTTAATAAAAAAAAAAGGCTAATTCTCATAATATTTAATGTATTTTTCGAAAATGAAAAATGTCCTTAACAAGTTTAGAATATTAAGTTTAAGTAAATCAACATATAAATTTATTAGCATAGCTTGAATGATGAATTCCAATAGTTATGCCTTTCTAAAAATAAAAAGTGTGCCTTGGTGAAATATGACTTTCTTTGGGACAGAGGTAGTAACATATTAACATGGAGATAACTAGCTCCATTTTGATGACTAATAAAACTTTGATTCCTAAAATTTGCATTTTTTATATTCGTCTCGCATCAACTCATTGATAATAATAATAGATGACTATACCCGAAGGTTCCCATCACACGTGTTGTAACATGTGTGTTTGCATCAAGAGCTAACTTAGCTAATCCAAAATCGGAAACCTGTTATTACAAACCAACAATGAGAAGTTGACGGAATGAAGCAATCATGAAAAGCTAGAATTTGTGGGCTGGTAGGGCATACCCTAGCGTCAAAGTTCTCATCCAAAAGAATGTTTGAAGACTTAATATCTCTATGGATAATCCGTGGATGGCCTGCAATCCGTACAACATTGAATCAATGAGTATTAACAATTGACAAAGTAAGCAACAATCTACATCCTATATAAAACAATTAATGTGTGTGACTTATTTAAGTTCATATTACTTTAGTCCTTGTTTGGTTGGAGGATTCCATAGAGGAGGAAGGTAGAGTTGATATTTATTTTATTGACTTATTCTTACATCTAGATGATTAGAAAGAAACAGAAAATGAAAAATTATATTAAAGTGCATGATTTAAATAAACATCAACATAGTACTCCCTAGTTTTTTGTCATTTGCAATGGAGCCAAAGATTCATTATTTTTTGGCTTGAGAATATGATGGAATAAAGCAAAATGTCTCACTAAACTGTCTGCGCTTCTTTGTTATGAAGCAACAGTCAGTCCATGCAATTTTGGACGCGATTTTCACTATGGGTCATCCGGAAACAGTCTCTCTGTGTTTTAGTACAGAGGTAAGACTGCGTACATCCGACCCCCCCTACCCCACCGTAGGTGGGAGCCTTTGCGGCACTGGGGTAAATGAAAATGATGAAAATGATAATACTCCGTAGTTTTCAAAACTAAGATTAAGAAATGGAGATACATTTTAAAACAAAAACCAATCAACTCCTCCGAAATTCCCCAACCAAACAATTTAGTTAGAGTCTTAAGTAGATGTTTGTCAACAAGACATGAAATGAGGAGTTAGTTTTAATCTATTTCAGGTAATATAATATTCACAATGAAAATATTCATGGGAAAAAGCTGCTATTTCACCTATTCCTCATTCATTTTCTTGATAAGAAAGCTCATAAGAGGAGAATACTAATTAACGAGGAGTTATTTTTAATCTATTTTAGGTAATATAATATTCTTTAGCAAAAAAAAAAAGCTAATGGTGGTTGATGAAATCGAGTCATATCTCAATCCAATGGAACAACCTAATCTATTATTCCGTATTAAATTTATAGGCCAGAGTGTGTTCTTAAATATGGAAGACCCACATAATTTAGCATAGTTAACATGTGATGAATCACAGTACATAAAGAGAGAAGGGAAAAGTTACTCACAATCTTCGTGGAGATAAGCTATTCCCCGAGCTGCACCCATGGCAATCTTTACACGTGTTGGCCAGTCCATAACTGGTCTATCTTTCCCTATGAATAGAAAGTCAGAAAGGGCACTATATAGCTTTAGTAACCGAGTAGGCAAATGCAATTCGCTTATTGAAATTTGAAAACTAAATAATATCTACCATGAAGATGGAAATGAAGGGTGTCATTGGGGACATAATCATAAACAAGTAGTCTTTTGTTCTCAGAGATGCAATAACCAACGAGAGTGACCAAGTGGCGATGATGAATACGGCTTATGGTTTCGACTTCTGCTCTGAATTCACGGTCACCCTGCCCTCCGCCAATTTTTAACTGTTTTACTGCCACCACTGAACCATCTCCTAGCCATCCTTTGTACACTGCACCAAACCCACCTTCCCCTAAAAGGTTTTGTGCTGCAAAACCATTAGTTGCCTCCTCTAATTCATCGTATGTAAACCATGACCGTGAGTTTCCAAATGTGCCGTGATCCCTTGGTGAATTGACAAACTCACTGCCAGAGCCACCTGGTAAACCAGGTGCTACAGCTTGCACCTTCAAAAATGCTGAATCTGTACACAAGTCATAATTTTTACAAAATTGAATTTCAATGGCAAATCGCCTAAAACTGCAGAAATGACACGCGGCACTTGGTTCAGGTAATCCCATACTCCCTTGGTAATGTGAGAACGTTAATGTTGAGTGTAAATGTGTCTATCTTAGGCTGCTTAGGTATTGCAACTAGTAAGATTACCGTGGTAATACTCAAGACTATTCTGATTTTATCCCTTACTATTTTCCAACATAATACCACATTCTGTGAACCAAACGTTTTGATCTAATCTTATATTCCCATAATCTCACATTACCTCCCAATAGGTACACCTATTACCCAAGGTATTTTTACATTCCGTGAACCAAGTACTAAAAATTTATACACAAGAAAAGAAATAAAAGTGTTAGATAAATTTACCAGATTTTGGAGAAGAACCAAGAGAGGTTGGCAAGATATAACCAGCATTATGTCCCAAAGCCTTTCTCTTACGCTTCCATATGCACCACCCTGCTATTCCAATAACACCAAGCAATAGAAGACCAAAGGCCAAGCCAACAGCTACAGTCCCTCCCGTACCAATGCCCCCACCACTGTTACTAGAACTATTGTTAGAAGGTTCACTTGATGAGGGAGATGGTGGTGGCAAAAATGGTGCTGGTTGTTTTCTTGGTGGAGTAGGTGGTGATGGGACAATATTTGGGGTTCCAGGGGGCAAATTAGGTGAATTTCTTGGAGGGTTAGTTACAGGAGATGGAGGAGAATTCTGAGGTGGCGTAGATGGTGAAGGTGGGGTTGAATTGTTAGGTAGTTCAGGGGTTGGAGGTACTGGAGAACTTTGAGGTGGCTTAGATGATGGCGGTGGTGGAGGCTTGGATGGTGGAAGTGGGACAACAGGTGAGTTTGGGGGTGGAGAAGTCCCATTTTTAGGGGGGTCCACAGTGGGCGGAGGTGGTGATGGACTAGATGGAGGTGGCAGTGGTTGTGGTGGTGAACCTGCTGGAGGATCAGAAGGTGGTGGGGGTGAAGTAGGTGGACGATCAGAAGGTGGTGGGGGTGAAGTAGCTGGACGATCAGAAGGTGGCAGAGGCGGTGTATTAGCAGGAGGATCAGAAGGTGGTGTTGGTGGTGGAGGTGAACTAGGCGGAGGACCAGAAGGGGATGGTGGTGGTGAACTTGGAGGAGGATCAGAAGGGGTTGCTGGCGGTGGTGGTGGTGCACTGGCAGGTGGACCAGAACGTGGTGGGGGTGGTGAACTAGCCGGAGCATCGGCAGGCTGCGAAGGTGGGGAGTTAGCAGGACGTGGTAAGTCAGATGACGCAGGCGGTGGATTTGAGGTTGAAGGTGGAGGACTGGTAGGCGGTGGTGTGGACGTTGCAGGTGGAGAAGGCGAAGCCATTGGGGGCGATAATACTGGGACCGGAGGAGGTGACGTCAAATTAATAAAAGAAGGGGATTGTGGCGGTAAAGATGCAGGAGAGCTTGCCGTGCTTTCTTGCCAAGTAGAAGGGTCCGACGAAGGAGAAGAGTCCGGCGAAGGAGAACTAGGTTGTTGCAGTGGGGTAGAAGACGTGGGTGGAACAGGAGATGGTGCAGAATCTGGAGATGAACTGCTAGTAGACATTTCACACTCCAAGATTATCAAAATCTAACCGTTTCTAAGACGACGCATTAAATATTCAACCATTCTCAAGTAAAGTTTGAACTTTCACATAATCCAGAACTGAAAATTAATCAAATCCCTCCCCTCCACATTCCTCACTCGTCGAACAATTCAAACAGCCGCGCTCCAGTTCAAGCAACCATTCATCGAACACTTAACGGACAAAAAAAAAAGCGAAAAACTTTAGAGCAGTGAGCGGAGATTACCGAATGCAGTTCCAATACAAACACGGATCGTAAATCCGGACAATAACCAAATCGAGAAATCTCGAGGAAGACGAAAACCTCAGACCCGGTTGTCGCTGACGACTGATTCAACAATGCGCGAGAAATACTCACTGCTGTTCGAACAGGGTGACCATTTCTTTCCACTGGATTCCAGATGATATCAACTTTACCTTTTAACTCTCCGCACCGAGATGGGAAACGGAAGGCTGATGCATGAAGTTAGCCCGAATCAAATCCAATCCGTATCGTACAAAAAAGGGCTTTTTTTAGCTAGAGAAGCTCTTCTTCATCAGCCCCAATACACGCAAAATGAGATGTAGTGCGGATACATGAAATGAGAGTGTCCGACGACCAGAGAGAGAGAGAGCATCATTATAACCGCGGCTTTATTCTTCGACTCGCTGTTATTTACCATCAAGGAGTTTTTTATTAGTATTTGTTTGACTAAGATAAAATATTGAATTAATTGCATCAATATTACTTTTAAAATGCGATAGACAACTTTAAAAAATGTGAGGGACAAAAATATTACAGAGTAACTATTGAAGACTATAATTGTGTTCAAAATTTACATTATAGTAACTAAGTGTAAGTTACTATAATGTAAACTTTCAAAAAAATTATTGTCACAAATACTTATTAAGTCACATTTTTGTCGATAACATTTTTATCAGTAATATTTAAGGAAAAACACCTAAAATATACGGTTAATTAAAGAAAAGATAAACTTACAGTACTACATAGTTATATACTTCGTATTACATCTCTCTCGGGGATAGTGGTTAATTTTGAATAATAAAAAAAGTAAAAATTATATGATTGAGATTTGTATAAACTATAAAGTAGAGGGAAGAGATCACTTTTTACTTTTTTTTTATTCTTGACTAGATGTTATTCTATTTATTCCTCTCTTCTATTTACTTTTTTCATAGGTAATTTGAATTTGACAATGTCCAATAGGACAGAGGTAATATTGTTTTCCATAAATAAGAGTTTGTTATTGACATCTAGAAGTAATATTATAATATCTTAATTGAGAGTATTAATGTCATAATTGACAGTATTTTCAAACAATTAATTGCTCATATTTATTGAAAACCCTACGGAATAACATTATATTTTGGAATTTAATATTTTTCTACTCCTATTTGGCTATTTGGCGCAATTTTTAAATTCTGAATATAATTTAATGTTATGTTAGTAAAGAATGTGGTATATGTATTCTAATACTAGGTTAAAATTATCAACGAATATGTTAATGTTATTCTCATTCAATTTGGCAAATAGTGTTTCTAATCACTTTGGGGTGAAAGGAATATACTACTCCGTATTAGACGATGAGGCAGTTCTACACTATAGCCCCTCTTTCACTACTTTTGCATTTTCGATGTGCTTATGCCTTTATATATATGTTTTTGACATGTTCATTAAATCTAGGGAAAAGGTGCAAATTGGCCCATGTACTAACAAAAAAAGGTCAAATAAGCCCTTATTTAGGAGGCTCTGTTCGACCGTCGCCATTTGGAGTGGTTCCCGATGGAATTTTTTGATGAAATTTTTTGAGCATCTTATTCATTAAGTCTAGTTTACTCATACAAAATTTCAGCTAAAACTTCAATCGGGAAGGCATTCAAATGAATTCTTGAAAATAACTGCGCAGTTAGAAGCGCAGTTATCTTCAAGAATTCATTTGAATGTCTTCCCGATTGAAGTTTTAGCTGAAATTTGGTATGAGCAAACTAGACTTGATGAATAAGATGCTCAAAAAATTTTATCCAAAAATTCCACCGGGAACCACCCCAAATGACGACGGCCGGACAGAACTTTCTAAATAAGGGCCTATTTGACCTTTTTTTATTAGTACATGGGCCTATTTGCACCTTTTCCCTTAAATCTAAGCTCATAGCCTTTTCTCTCACACTTGTATTGAATCCAAGCTTATCGCCAACACGTTCATTAAAATAGAAATCTGCTAACAAAAGGTGATTTATTTTCTTTCTGTTCACACTATTTCTGTTCACTATTTTGTGGTTTTATCTTTTATTAACCTTTTTTAAAAACAAAAGGGAGAAATGGATATATAGCCTTTTAAATTAGAGTTAATTATCAAAATAGGACTAAAAGTCATTCACTTTGCACAAATAGGACCAAAAAATAAACTATGTTTTCATAGGACTAATTATGTTTGTCTTGGACAAATATACCCTTATACCTATTGGAATGTTTTAATTTATAATAAAATAATAAAAAATAATAAAAATTCGTAAAATATAGCAAAAAATTAATAAAAATATTCTGAATAATAATAAATTTAAAAAAAAAAATTAAAAAAAAATCAAATTTTTTTTGTCACCGCCGCCTATACCGCCCCAGCACCACCACCTCTAGTCATTTGGGGAAAAATGCCAAATTTATTATGAATTCCATATTTTTGGCATAATTCAGAATGATTTAAGATGGAAGAAAAAAAATGTTGGCATTCTCAAAGAGAAATATGCCATATTTTTGGCATTTTTCGAAAAAAATGGAAGTTTGTAGGAAATATGACATTTTTTTAACGGTCGGAGGTGGTGGTGCAGGGAGGCGGTACCACCACCTCCTGTCACCGGGGTAAAAAAATGCCAAAAAAATTATGAATGCCATATTTTTGACAAAAGTCAAAAGGATTCAAGTTGGCAGAATGAAAATGTTGGCATTCTCATAGAGAAATATGCCATTTTTGTGGAATTTAAAAAAAAAGTGGCATTTTTTACACCGATCGGAGGTGGTGGTTCAGGGAGGTAGTACAGGCGGTGGGAAACGTATCCATATTTTTTTTAATTTCTTTTATGGAGTTTTACTATTTTTTTATTAATTTTTAAAACAAAAAAAAAAATTTGTTTTTTTATAAAAATTTTATTAATTTTTTTATTATTTTTCTACGAATTATTGAATTTTTTTCAAATTTATTATGAATTAAACATTTAATTATGACTTTTAGCTATCTTTTACTAATATTTAAAGGAGGGGTAAGAATGGAAGGAAGAAATGAGTATGTTTCCAATAGGACCACTATGGTCCTATTTTGGAAAAAAAACATAACAAGTCCTATTTTGAGTTTTTGCCATAGTTTTAGTCCTATTTGAAGTAATTTCTATTTAAATTAACATACATAAAGTTAATAGAACTCATTTATATTTTATAAAACATATAGCACTTTTATATGGAATTTGCCTATTCAAGTGTTGGAATTTTGGAAGTATTTCAAATGAATAGATTTTGGAAGGATGGAGCCAACAACAGGGAAATTATCATTTACCACCCTTGAGGTTTCACGTATTATCACTTAGACCCCTGCACTATTAAAAATATACACTTACCTCCCTCCCTATCCTTTAATGAAAGTTTAATAACTCTTAATTACGTTTAGAAATAGTATAAATTCAGTTTTATAAATTTACTCACTTGCATATTTAACCTGATAATTAATAAATTTACTTGTATTCAAAATCTTTCCACCAGAAAGTACTTTTTTGCAAGAACGCGTACTTTCCAATGAAATAGCCCTTATTATTGACAAGGTACATAACTACATCTACATGTGAGTAAAATTATACACTTAGCAGACACAATCGAAAGGTACGAGCTTAAAACCATAAATCTCTGTTACTTTTAAAAGTTCAAAAATATATTTGAGGTTGTAGAAATCTTGGTGAAACTTTTCTGACAAGAGAAAGATGTCTAATAACGAGGAATGTTATTTTATACGTAAAACAAATGTTGTTGAAGGACTTTTAGGAGACTATTGTTACCTATTGTAAATTTGTATGAGAAATACTTACTTTTGTGGTTCATAATAGGGGAGGACAAGGCCCGGTCTCGAGAATGTCCGATTTTTTAATTAAGATTTTAGGTTGGGATCGAGACCAGACCGGTGAACAAGAGGCCTCAGGCCTCACTTTTTGGACCAGGATTGGAGCCCATGGTTTGACCCCATTCATTTTTTCATTAAAACCATTGAAAACATTTTAAAATTGGTTATAGTCCGTTTAAAAGTTAAAAAATAGGCAGTTAAATATTTAAATTATCGGGAGCGAACCTAGACAAATTAGGAGATTAGAACTGAAGATAAGGTCATGGGCCACACTAATTATTTAGCACTAACTAGTTTGGGTGTGAAACTCATGATAAATTATAATGTCTTTACCAGTATTTTACATGTAAACATGTTCATATTTTGTCAAATGTTAAATTACAAGTTATATTATACATTTATACCTATAATGATCTCATTTTCAGTGATAAAAAAGTTTCTAGTGTGCAAAATGGGAATTTTCTTGCATTCAATCTTTAATGGTAAAACCGAGTAGTCAACATCACCTTTGAGTCGGTTTGGTTCAATTAAGTTGATTTGTTTCAACTCTTGACAAATTTAGCTTATTTTGATCATTTCCATGCCAGTTGATCGAGTATATTTAGTCACTTTACAAATTCAAAGATATAAAACGAACTACCTAGAGTGGGGTCAGTTTTGTTCGACTTTCGATAAAAATGTCATTAATATGGACAAATTTACTAATTACCGGATCAAATTTGTAATTGAATAAAATTACAGTATTAAAAGCGGACCTAACGAAAAATAATGAAATTATATCTATAGTTTTCTCTAAATATAGATTAGAAGTTATTTAATCATCATTAAAGGATAGGGAGGAGGGTAAAAGTATATTTTTGATAGTATAGGGGTGTGATTGATAATGCATCAAACCTCAAGGGAGGTCAATGATAATTTCCCGCCAACGACAAGACCCGTGAATAATGGATATGGACACAGTGATGCTGAAACAAAATATATATTCTAGCTTGATAGCAGTCAAGAAGACGCTATTCATTTTATTTTGGATAATACATATCATTAACGTAAACGTAAGTATTTAAGCATGTATATATATCCAATTGGGATAAGGGTCAGATAGGGCCTCGAACTCGAAAAAAAATGTCAAATAAGGTCATATTTCGGATGCTCTGTCTGGCCGACGCCATTTGGGGCGGTTCCCGATGGAATTTTTTGATGAATTTTTTTGAGCATCTTCCTCATTAAGTCTAGTTTACCCATACCAAATTTCAGCTAAAAACTCAACCGGGAAGGTAGTCAAATGAATTTTTGAAGATAACTGTGAAGTTAAACAACGCCGTACATTTCGGAAACTTATTTGACTACCTTCCCGGTTGAATTTTTAGCTGAAATTTGGTATGGGTAAACTAGACTTAATGAGGAAGATGCTCAAAAAATTTCATCAAAAAATTTCATCGGGAACCGCCCCAAATGGCGTCGGCCAGACAGAGCATCCGAAATATGAC